AATAATTTCTTTACACATCCCAGCAGCCAAGCGACCTGGGAGTGAATCGTTTCATTGGCAATGGTTGAACACAGGGAAAAAAAAAACTCTGGTGCTGGTTTTGATAATCGGTGTCTCATCACCAGAGTGGGTGAACGCTGGTGAACTGCGGGATGTTCATATGCAAGGCCCCCTCTGTGAGCTGTGGGTCCTGGTGGAGCACAAAAGTCTACAATGCACGACACGGAATGACCGGGCGCGTCGTCGGTGCAGCTCGAGGCCGAGGTAGCGGTGCCCCCTAGAGACGAGAACCCGCCAGCCCCGCTGTGCGTGAGCGACACGCGGGGAAGACAGCGCTCCCCCTGCCGACGGAAAGAGGCAAAAGCCGTCAACAAAAAGCCTACAACACCTGGTATTCCCAGGCGGTCTCCCATCCAAGTACTAACCAGGCTCGACCCTGCTTAGCTTCGGAGATCGGACGAGATCGGGCGTATTCAGGGTGATATGGTCGTAGGCGAGAGCTGAGAGGAAATTTAGTAAACTTATCTCCAACGTCAACTCTTCCCGCTGATATTTTTGCAGCGAGTAAATGTTACCCACAAAATTCGTGTTCACCACCAACTTCAGGTCGCGACCCCAGAGCTCACTTCTGCCACTGTCAAGACCACAGCCCTTAGGGTGCCGTGGCTCTAAGCGTCACGGTGCAGTGAAGCTGCTGAGCTGAGTTAGAATCCCGGGCACGGCTAACATCATCGGTGGTGTCGAGTGATATCCGAACCAGGTCAGCCTCTCTCCACCCCCACCACTTCACCACCAACCCGCACCGTCGACCAGCGTGGTGAAGTATGCTCAATCAACCCCCAGGATCGTAGAGACACGGCGTGTGGGGGTCTTCATCCATCAGCGGATTAACAAAGTCTGCACGTTGTGGTTTAAATACACAAACACACACGCGTACTCTATATAAATATGGTGACAACTTTTACTCTGCGATAGCTGCTCAGAACCTGAGATGTTGCTCCAGAGCTGAGGCCACTTGGGCTTTGCACCGAGACGTCTTGAGTTGAACTCCACTGTGAATGCAAGGATGATTGCAGGCGGTGTCTTCACACAAAAAGTCGTCACTTGTGCAAGGTTGTCCAACTACGTTAGAGATAAGAGCAGGTTGATCACAACTACGTTAGAGATAAGTTTACTAAATCTCCCGTCAGATCTCGCCTACGACCATATCACCCTGAACACGCCCGATCTCGTCCGATCTCGGAAGCTAAGCAGGGTCGAGCCTGGTTAGTACTTGGATGGGAGACCGCCTGGGAATACCAGGTGTTGTAGGCTTTTTGTATAGGCTATTTGCGTTTTCGTGTCTCAAGGGGGCGCTAGTTACTCCACGTTTCACACGCACGAAGCCGAACTGGCATTTCAATGTCTAATAGGGGGCACTGCCACTTGGGGTCAAACTCTTGATGACTTGGGATTCAGAATTGGAATTCACCAATGTCACGTTCACCCCAGTTGTCAGTGCTCCCTACAGACTTACATATGAAAGTTCCACTCTATGCGTCTGAAACGTACGGTAAATAGCTCCCCCTTCCGACATAAAAGGAAAAATCCTAACAACACCTGGTATCCCTAGGCAGTCTCCCATCCACGCGACTAACCAGGACTCGACACCAGTTTGCTTCACAAGCTCAGACCATATCGGAGGCATTCAGGATGAAATGGTCGTAGCCATTGAGCTCAATGAGAGTTTACCCAGCTTTACGGGTATTCCGTTCTGCTTAAACTGCAATGCAATTGCTGTTCTTCCCCTAATTCACGTTCCCGTGGGATAATGGAAAGAGCCGGAGTGATGTAACGCACGTCTCGAAAAAAATCCCATGGGTAACAGGGCACCACATAAGAGGTCCGTAGGTGAGAAGTGTCAAGGGCCATGTCAGGAGTTTCACTACAAGTGGCGCTCAGAGGGGCCTTAACGGTAATGAGACACTTCTGTCGTCAAATATGTTGAGGACACATGTTGGCATGACTGGTGAAACAATAAGTGCACCGAAGTACATTGTTAATCAAACTTTTTTTTATTACAAACAAAAATAAACGTCAAACATCGGTGCATGTTATTAAACAGTATTGAAATGCAGCGATGCGAAGCACGTGCTCAATGTTTGATCAGTGCACAACTGTTGAAGAATCAACATCACGAGTTAATAATGATGGCACCCCCATCAGAAGGTAGAATCAGTAATGGCTCAAAGTCAGACCCGGACTATACCACACAAATGTTGAAACCGTGCCCGATCCACCTTTATGCAATGGCCGGTCCTGGGCATATAATGGCAAGAAAAAAATACAATGTCCAGGCACATGCTTGCCAACCCTGCTGATTTCAGTAGTAGGCTGATGATGTTTTAAACCCCTTGACCACATACAGAATTTTCTAAGAATCATGCCGCTCCATAAATGTTTTTTTCATTTTAGTTTTCTTCGGCGCTATTCCTGCTTTGAAACCCTCGTGTTAAAAAAATGGTTTAAGAATTGCCAGCTTACCACTTACATCTTTGGTGGGAGCAAGTTCGCTACCAGATGCACCAAAAATACAAAAATGGGCTGGATTTTGCAAGGCAGGAATAAATTTGAAATACCAACATGAAAGCAGACAAAATCGTAAAAACATTTCCCTTGTCAGTATAATTTCTAAAACCGTCTTGGAGCTTTTACATTAAAAAATATTCACGCAGAAAAATAATAACGTATGTTACAAAAAGCCAACTATTGAGCTTTATTGCCACCATTTGTGACTTGAAAAACCTTGGCATATCTGCTGGTCTCAAAAGAACATAAACCCTACTGCAATGACTAATATTCGACGAAAGAAAGTGGAGCAGTGGCGCAGTGGTTAGCGTCCTAATCTATGAACACGGCAACCTGAGTTTGATTTCCAGCCATGGCTAACTTTTCTATGGAGTGATATCTGAACTTGTTTGGAGCACCCCACTCTCATAAGCATTGTTAAATGTTGTCAAATTACCAGTCACCAGCGTGTTGTGGGGAGATATTCATCCATCAGTGCAGTTACAGAGGGATATAGAATGCGATTATATCTCACAAACAAGAACCATCTCGAATTAAAGCAGGACTACCATTTCCACATCAAAAATATGGATGTGCAATTAAACAAGAAAATACCTGATTTTGTGAATGAATTACCTTAATTTGTATTCATAGGATATTTCGGTACGTGTATATTATGGTGCATGTATAACAGAAACAGTGATGCACAGACACGTAACTAATAAAAAAAATCATAAAAACTACATTTCACAGAATCCGTGAAAAAGAAACACTACTTCACCCTCATCTAATCCATGTGGTATTTGCAAGTATAAAAAGGCGATGCGAGTGTGTTTTTCCCGGGTTCAGCTGCTGCGTGTCGAGAATTTATTCTCGCAAGCTTTCAGCGTGCACTCCTGCTGTGAGCATCTTCAGGGTTCAGAATTAAATTGGTGCCCACAAGTAGTGCATGGTGAAAGTTGTAGTAAAAATATGCTCAACAACGCAGTCTCAACCCCGGAGAGGAAAAAAAAACAACATTCGAGTTACAAGCGGCGAGAGAAAAAAAAGGATGATCTTTAGCATGAGCAAGCATACAGTAACACACACACAACAAAACATCGCAGGTAGTTTCCTCTATTTAGATTTCAGAAGTCTGTGGTATTTGAAGTGTGGCTGGTACGGGTGCTTCTCAAAACCATTGTCTCCGAGTGTGAAAGGCAAACTTACTTTGCTCAGCGGACTCGCCGGCAAGACCGGCAAGACCAGGATGGAAATTTATTAGAGGATCGGGGAACTTCCCAGAATAAAAATTTCCTTTATTGGAATTTTCACCACGGAATCAATTCCCGGAACACAACGCCAAAGCATCCCAATGTTGACTGTTTTTATAAGTGGCAGGTAAAAGTAGGTGGCGTTTAATGAGCTGGGGGTTTTTTTTCCGTAATTTTTTTTTCATAATGGTAACAACTTGGTAATAATTACGTTTGTCCCCACCTAAGGTTGAATGCACATTTCACAGTTAAACTTATTTGCAAACACATACAAAACACAACTAAACAGAGTAGCTTCGCGTCATAGGGTCTACTGGGAATGTATAATTTGGACGATCCGGAAAAATAATTCAGTTTCGATCTGAAAATGTGATGACAGCAGACGTGACGTCACTCCTGTGGCAGAGCTTCCATGTTTTCACTACGAAATTGTTGCCACTTGGCGTCAATTGTCGCCATATATTGATGCGTGCGGTCACCATTGCTTAAATTATTCATGTATTCGAAACGTTACACCGGATCATTTTACTGATGCAACCATATGTTCAAAATGTAATTTCTATCATGCCTATTAAATCTAGTCGATTTAAATGTTACCTTAAATAGCAGTGAAATGCAATGCAAAATAAACAAACCAGCCCAAGCATGTGTGTCAATTCCACTTGCATGTGTCAATACGTTTACACAAATTTAATTGTGCAATAGCCTCAAATGTTCAAAGTGTTACCCACTGATAAGACAGATTGTATAGTTATGTTTATGAAAACAAATCGAATATTCAACCCTGAATTGTGCACATTAGTTATTGTTTCGATGAGAATGACATATAGGGCATCACAGTTAGACCTTTTTTAAATTAAACACAAACCAACACATTTAACACAAAAGGGCTTTACGATTGCGTTGGCAGAAATATTTTCACCAGCCCCACCCCAATTCTCAAGCACACACTGACCAGCATGGTAAAATACAGTAAAACCTTGGATTGCGAGCATAATTTGTTCCAGAATCCAAAGCACTCGCATATCAACGCACTCATATCAGTTGTGATCACGTGACGCTCGGCAGACAAAGCGTATACGTACTACTCGTATTGCAAGACCTCGCTCGTTTATCAAATTTATATTTAATTAAAATTTTTGCTCGTCTTGCAAAACACTCGCAGACCAAGTTACTCGCAATCCAAGGTTTTACTGGATAGCCAAAGAAACCCCATAAACTATGTGGTGTTGGGAGGCTTTCATCCAGCAGTGGATTTCCAAAAACTATGCCTGATTCAGAGGTACTCAATGCAATGTTATTTTCTAAATACTCTCTATTTTCATCCAATAAATTTGTTAGAATGCTTCCTGCCAACACAAGAGTTCGGCCTTTAGTGTCTGTAACACAGAGGCATTGCACCTATTGGTAAAATAGTACAGTAATATAACAGCTAACAATAATTTGCACAAGTAGTGGCTTGCTTGAACGATGGTGTCTGGTTGTTGCTATTCTTTGGGCACCTCGAGTAACTAAAGTGGAAGGGAGTCCATGAGAGTTTATGTCAAAGGCTACTGCCGTGTATACGTTGTGTTCGGGATGCTTGAACGAAATAATCCGGCACGATTAATCGATTGACCATTTCCTGTCGCGTGCACATTAATACAGGTAGGGCCAAAACAGTGTTCATCTCGTCCGCCGACTCACGGAGACTCGAATAATATCAAATGTCACATCGCAGTTGTCAGTAACTTACACTTGCGTCTTTCTCTATCAAAAGTCATTCCCAAACGTTTTCTGGACCCGAAGACAAGAGTCAACCCTGGAAAGAATGTTTTCCATGGTGAATGTTTCGTCAAAAAAACATCGTATCCGCAAATGTTTCCGCTACCTACTGCCAGACTATGGTGGGCATGAGCAGTTGTTCACAGATCACAGGTTGGGGCCTCACTGCTCTATGTCGGTTTGCATTTCGACTGGAGGAATCCGATGAGCTATGAAGCTCTTTTTCACAGATGTCCAGTATGGACCGGGTCTAGTATAGTCAAGTAAGATGCCAGACTATTATTTGTCTCTATTATAAAACACCTATGGTTTATAATAAAAAAAAAATTACAAACCAGTGTTGACAGTCACTGCAAATAATTTAAAACACTTTCTGTTTTTCAGTATGGCGTTGCATTTTAGAGTAAATATTGATACTTTAAAATCTTAAGTTAAAGGGATATGTAGGCAATTTTCACAATTTTCACCAAAAATTCGACTGCTTGTATTCTGAGATCAAAAATAGTATGATTGAGGTATTAAGAAAGGTTGGTCAGTATTTTTTATTCAGCACATAAAGTAACGTGATGCGATTAAAAAAATGTCTTAAATTTGTTTTACTTATTTTTCAAAGGTGCTTAAAATCCTATCAAAGTCTCCGTCACGGAGTCTAAAGAAGAAACACAGAAGCCGGAGGTATTTTCCGCACCTCTTCTGAAATGTACGGATTAATTGCCATTACAAAATGTGGCATATTGCACAATGCTTTTTGTGACATACTAAATACTTAAAAGTTAATATGCTGATTTTATTTCTCAAGTTTTACGATGGGAAACCATAACTCTTATCAGTGATATCAACCCCCGGTACCTGAGTTCGATTCCAGGCCACTGCTTACATCAGTTTGGCGAGTGATGCGAGTGATATCTGAACCGTTTTCGCCGCCGCTCAGCACCTCACGCCTCTCCGGCAAATCCTTCACTCACTCAACCCACACTGATCAATGCGGTGAAGTATGGTCAAACATCCCCCCACACAGCTCGGGAAAGCCTTTATCCAGCAGCGGACATGACAAAGCGGCCGTAAATGATCTTCCAAATTTCTTGCTATCAAATTTTCATGACCGTGTTTCCCTGCGCCGTCGATTCAGTCCCCACCCCTCCCCACGCCCCCCCCCACCCCCCCTCCCCCGTACCACCAGGCAGCCATCCTCATTGCGAGCGTCGTGCGGGTCTCACATCAGAAACTGGATGCACACGACGGCGACCGCGACAGCGCACGCGATCGCAGCCACTACGTTCCCGCGAGACAGCAGCGACACGCCGGGGGCCTGGGTGGCCTCCTTGTGGAAGGAGCACATGCCTGGACACACACACACACACACAGAGGATCGACGGCACAACGAAAACAAAGATCCCTATTATATACTCTGCTGGGGCAAGCTCCGTGAACGAGCAGCCACTTTAAGTTGTCGCGCACGCATTAAAGTCACCTCCGATTCAGCGTGGTTGGCTACGTGCGGTGGAATCAAGGTCAACATACAAAGTCGCCACGCCACACGAGGGGAGTGGTGTGGCCAGCACCAAAACCCCGGTGCCGATAGTTTACACGCCGCGCCGTTTGAGGCCGAGTCGACCTAGGGTAGAGTCAGGACCAGTTTAAATAATAGCAGCTGATGTTGGTGGGCGTGAGCGGGAATCGAACTTGGGTCGCCGGATTCGTAGCGCAGCGCGCTAACCACTGCGCCGCTGCTCCCCACGCAAACACAAAACATACACACACGAACAAGGCACCATACTCGGCACCATGATACTCAAGTGAATTCATCAAGCGACAACAGCCTTTGTTAACCAAGTGAAATCCCGTTGGGAAACTTCACTTTGTGTTATAAACATATGGCTGTGGACAAGAGTAGCTTTGTAAATATATATGTCTCAATATGTCCGCATATGCTGGTAGGAACCTCCTGGTTACACCATCAGCCCACAGGGGATCATTGTGTCCGTCCGTCGTGCATCCAGAAATGGGAGGGGTGGAGCTGGGTGGAGAGGGGCTGGGTGGGGAGGGGCTGGGTGGGGAAGGTGGGGAGGGGAGGGTGAGGAGGGGCTGGGTGGGGAGGGTGGGGCTGGGTGAGGAGAGGCTGGTCACCCCGTGGTGCCCTTATAAAACTCAACGTTTAACCTACTCACGCCGGCTTGTGCCCGCCCTCACAGTCGGGCATATTTGCGGAATACACCACGTGGTGCCACCGTTGACCCTGGCCATTGACCGAGCAACCCAACGTTCCTACCAGCTCCCTTTGCAGGAATGTGTTTTTCATTGTCACTGGATCATCACGTGTTACTTACCATTCAGAAGTGGTGGAGCTGCATTGGAGGGGCCACTCTTCTTCTCATCTGGCGTCAGCTCTCTGATGGCATCGAGCTCTTTAAACACCTTAAGAAGAGACAGCATTTGGGGTTCCATGATATACTGTATATCGAAGATTTATTTGAAGAAAAAAATCATCGTTCAATTCAAAGTGGTGCCCCATGCTCCATCATGATGACGCTTCCGTCAAAATAATGAAAATAATACTGGAGCTTGGGTCCCAGAGGCTCACTTTCCTCTCAGTACACCCTGAAAGGCGGCTGATCCTATGATGAGAATGGGCGGATGTGGGCCTGAAGTTATTTTTCTCTTTATTTCGCTTGTCATCTTTGTTTTGACAAAGGTGACGAGCGAAATAAAATACCATTTTCAGCCACCCTCATATGGCATTTCCACATTATTCACCTTCGTCTGCACCTTCATTCAAACTCGTTCGCTCGTCAAGAGTCGGTCACGCTTTGGTCTTTGGTGGGGGGGGGGATCGTCGTCATCACCGTCACACGCTTGACGATCATTTTATTTTTTTCCCATTCGCTCACAGTCATCGCCGACATCAACATTAAGACATTTCCGTCACCGATTTCGTCCACAAAGTGAATGCTGCTCACCTCCATGTTCATCCGGAAAGCTCTGTTGGCCTCCTCCACGACGCGCCCCATGGTCTTGGCGTCCAGCTCCAGGCTGTTCATGCGCGAGCGGTACAGCTGCTTGAACTTGCCGGCGTTGGTGACGTTGTCGAAGGTGTAGAACTCGAGGCCCTCGCCGCTGGCGGGCAGGTGCAGGGCACGCTGCGCCACCTTCTTGAGGACCTGGCCGCCCGAGAGGTCGCCCATGTAGCGCGTGTAGGCGTGGGCCACCAGCAGCTCCGGCTCGTGCTCCCCGATCCACCGGATGCGCTCCACGTACCTGCGGACAGGTGGGACCGGCCGACGGGAGGCGTCACTCACGCGCGGCGTCGGGCGAGGCGGCATCGCTGCCTGTACGTATGTTGAACTTCTTTCGCGCCGCTTCGAATATAACATCTGTGACTATTCCAGATGACATTGAAATTACAGTTTCACTTAAACGGTTATTCGGAAGCCACTGCAGCTATGGCACTTTGAAATCTAGATTTTAAAATAATTTCTTAAGCATCCCTTTTTGTGTTTAAGTTTATTGTCCTTACCCCCCACCCCCCTCCCGTACATCCATAAAACGTACGTATGACCGTGTGAGCAGGCCAAATAGACACGCGGCGCGCGCCTGTTGCATTTTCGAGAAGCGGCAGGCCCCCGGGGCGGCGAAGGTGAACACGCACCTGTCGACGGCGTCGGAGCGGGCGGCCTTCTTCTGCCACTGCGGGCCGTAGAAGAAGTGCAGGTCCTTCTCGAGCGCAGCCTTGCGGCTGAGCTCGAGCGGGAAGTGGAGCGGAGCGAACGCGACGTGGCCCTTGTTCCTCTCCATCTCCTCCTCCAGCGCCGTGTACACGTGGTACAGCGCCACCGTCATGTGCTGCTCGGCAACACGGGCGCGCGAAGGCAAAGACACGGCCAGCCCTTTGGTTTATTGCGCAGGGACAGCTGTCATCATCAGGGGGTTTTTCTCCCCTGCCCCCCCCCCCAATCCTCCACCCCGCCCCCCCTAGGATTAAACAAACATAACTGTGAGGTGCTGTTGTCGCCCAAAGGTCAAACAAAATTGTTTTTTTTTAAATTTGACCAGGTAAGGCCCACTGAGCTTTGTAGCTCTTTTTCAGAAGCAGCCTGGCCACAAATTAAAGCTGAAACAAGGTGGCTTATCATGTGGAAATTTATGGCAAGCATGGAGGACCTGGCGAAAAATCCACGCGACCACATGGAGAACATACAAACTTCAAATATGCGGGCATAAGAGTCGGGATCGAACCCACGACCTCCTGTATGCCAGGCGAGGTAGTTCGCATCTCCTAGCCACCGTGGCGCCTATCACACGTGACCTCACATCAAAGCAAATGCATTCGCCTTCCAACAATCATTGTACAATGATTGCCATTGCAATCGAATTCCCCGCCACCGGCTCACCTCGAAGAGGTCCCGGCGGATCCGGCCCTGCAGGAACTCCTTCACGAAGTGGGTGTTCTCGGCCAATGTGTGGGAGTCTTTGGTCCCAACCTTCAGCATGTCAGACAGTTCATTGCTGCAAGACAACAGAAGCAAGGCATGATTACGCACCGCATATGAAACGGCACCGCAAACGGTGCCCTCCATCTTCGTCAGATCTCAGAAGCTAACCAGGACTTTACGTGAACGAAAGACACAAAGGCACACCGCGTTTTCTCATTGAACATTGCTACATTTCAAAATATCACTGTCCTGGTCACAAAAGCAAAGTTTGTGGGGAATAATAGCCATTTTCTGTGCTTTTGGGAGGCATAAGCAATTAGGAAATACCACTTACTACCCAGGAACAACATTTATTTTTTGTTACACAGTGCAATCGAACTGATAGATGACCACATTTCAACAACATCTACATGTAAATTAACACCCACAACGCAAAATGACCGAATCCGAATTAATTACAGCGTTGACATCTTAAAGACACTTCGGAAGAATCGCTAACCACTTGAGAGGTTCGCGTGGTGGCTCAGCGGAAACGATCGTGCCTTGCAGCAAGAGGCGTCTGGGTTCGACTCCCGCACTCGAATGCCTTTCTCCGTCGAGGTTGTACGTTCTCCCCCCCCCCCCCCTCTGATATATTTGAGTTTCCTCCGGGTTCCCTGGCTTCCTCCTTAAGCTACAAAAAATACACAATGTAGCTGAAAATTCAACGGAACGGGTTCGGAAAAATAAACACGGTGGCATTAAAGGGCACGCACAGATTAAAAAAAACAACCGCCACGTTTTGAATTCAAGCTTTCGTGACTGCAGTGATTCATATTCTTGGTTCTTTCGGTAAATAATTTTATTGTTTTATATATTATTATTTTATTGTTTCCCTTCAACGTGACTTTACCGAAAGAACCAAGAATATCAACTGCCACGTGTTTGGGCAATTTACCTTCGAAGCAGAAGCCAAGAGAGGTTTTATATGTTTTTGTTGCACCGTCTCGCATAATGATTTAAGCAGCCTATTTTTTAGCAGCAAACAACATAAACGTTCCACACAAACCTCACCCGGTCCCAGCTACCTTACAAAACGCACCATCTGAAACGGCTGTTCCACAGTCCAGCGTGTCACGGTTGTACACGTTATTAACTTTCGCTTATTATTAACCGTTAAACTAGTCGTCTGCTTCGCTGCGTACATTACAATTATGTTTTCTATTGCTTATTTCGCCAGGTTAGACCCACTGGAGCCTATATACTGTAGCTCTTTTTTTTTCAGAAGCGACCTGGCCACAGACGATAGCTCAATAAAAGTGGCTCATCACGTCAATTTTTTTTTGTTTTACAGCAGCCAAATGATTAAAAGGAGGAGATGCCATGCGTTGCCGGCCAGGTGGGGGAGAGCCATTGTCCAAGACATCTTTTGAAGCATGAAATTGCGCGCCGTGTTTTTTTGTTTACGCTCAATGGGGAGTGGGGGTCATTGTAAAAACAACAATGAATGGCAACGTCGCCCCCTAGTGGCAGACTTATTCCTGCCCAACTTTCACCTCGTGTCGCCGCACAGGGACTGTTCCCATTAGGGTCCCCCCACCCACCCAACCACTCAGCCCCCCCCCCCCTCTCCCCACCAAAGCTCTAAATACGGAACTGCATTTGGGGACACCTGTTACGTAACAGGCGAGATATAAATGAACGTGTATTATTGTACAATCACAGCTTGTGTTATGACTGCAGTCCAGCATACAACAAAAACTATCGGTATTTCATCACTGATGCTTTCAAAACATACGTTCCAACCATTCTCGATCCACGAATGGATAAAAGGCCCTCCCCGACGCCATGCAGGTTATTTTGTGCGTACACTTGCCCCCAACATTCTGTTAAGGCTGGACGAGGGATCTTTTTTTCTTTTCACCATTCTTCATCAAGCAAGTGCAGCTCTTTTTGTTTTCCTTCCGATATTCGGAAGTCGCTGAAGCCGTGCACTTTTAAATCTAGACTAAAACACATTTCTTTAGAACTGCTTTTGTGTTTTCAGTTTGTTGTCCATCCCCCGGGAACCTTCGATCAGTACGGTTGGCTACGTACGGTGCGAAAGAAGTTCCATATACATACATAGAAGCTGGTGTGGTCAGTGCGTGGGGAACAAATGTGAGCAGGGAGGGGGGGGGTCTGAAATGGTTCTGTTATCACTCGCCACTGACGTTAGCCGTGGTCGGAAATCAAACTCAGATCGCCGGCACAAATAACAGAGGGGAAACAACTCAACACACTGCTCAACAGCACTGCCCTGCAACACAAACAACTTATAATACGCGACGTTTCGGGCAATGGCCCTTCTTTCTTTCATTCACAGCAAAGAGATCGACAGATGGCCTGGTCACGAGGAGCAGTGCGCTCACCGTTGCGCCACCGCTCCACACCCACGCGCTGCTAACGCGAGAGACAGAGGAAAGGGTGAACGTTCGTTTAAAAGTTAACTTTTTTTTGATGATTGCCAACTTACGTGGGATTAAAATGCCATAATTTGTTTTGCACAAAAAAAAAGAGAGAGGAGAGAGAGAGGAAAGAGAGGAGAGGGAGGGAGTATCCTCACCCGAGTCCGAGCGTCTTCCCGTGCTGGGCAGCGTGCTGCACGGACACGTCTTGGCTATCGTTGGCAGGCATGATGACGATGCTGTTGCTGTTGTTGTTGGATTGTGTAAGTGATGATGATGATGTAGTTGTAGTAGTCGCGGGGTCACGGAGAGACGGCGTGAGAGTTGTAGCGTGCGGTCTCAGCTGCTCTTACACCAGACTCGGCCTCAACAACAGGACTGGAGTCTTGACGAGTATATATACCCTGCCACCCCCCTTCCCTCCCGTCCACGCCCCACTACCACGGCGTGGTTTTTTTCTCCCTACCCCCTCCCCTCATCCACCCCCTCCCTTCTTCCCCTCTCACCCCCTTCGTCATCCCCCTCCCTCTGCTCCCTCCCCTCTCACGCTCCTTCCCTCCCTCGCACTTTCACCCTCCCTCCTCGACTCCCTCCACTCCCTCGCCCTCCACTCTCTACTCTTCCTCGCTCCGCTCCCTTTACTCGCTGTCACACTCCCTCCCTCCCCTGAATCCCTTCACTCGTTCCCATCTCTCGCTCACTCCTTCACTCCATCCTTCGCTCCACTTACTCACTCCCATTACTCTCGCACTCCTTCCCCTGAAGTCCCCACACTCCCTCGCCCCTCCCTCCCATATTTCTCTCCTGCTAAATCACCCCCCCCTCCAGTCAGAGAAGAGATGCAATAAAATCTCCGACGCACGCACGCGCACGCACGCACGCGCACGCGCACCCACGCGCACGTGCGCGCGTAACCGGCCCGGTACCCCAACCACCGCAGCCCCAGTCGCGGTGTGGGGAGGCGGCTCGAACCGCATCCGCGCGTTCGCTCAACACGCACGACGACAAATGGGGGAAGCGATTTTAATTATTTATTCTATTTTGTGCGGAGTCATAGTTTGTAGCAGGGCAGCCAGTGAGTCTCGTGAGCGGCACGTGACGACGCCTCCCCCCCATCCCCCTCGCTGTGTCACGTCGTTCTCTGACGCTGCACAAAAAGGGAATGGCGTGTTTGTTGTATGACCCCCACCACCCAACCTCCAACCCCCCCCCCCCTACATTCCTCACCCTACCACCCCCCCCTCGCACATTTGTGCCGAGTCAAGTCGGCAGCAGCCTAGACCGCCCATCCCCCCCCCCACCCGCTCGTCCTCACTCTGACTCAGCTGAACAAAGAACCGCGATTCACAGTGGCCGCGTTTTCTCTGCTACGAGGAAAAGCACAACGAAGGCCAACGTATATCATAATAAAAAAAGGGTTGTTTCGGCGGGTTAGATCGCGTAAATGTGAATGTGTCGTTAAACCCGCCACCACCCGGCATAGCCAATTAAAATGGCTTGTCACGTAAAGGGAACGTGCCTATTAGTTACTACTTCAGCACACCGGTGTGTTGGAGGGTAAACCCACGACATTTGCAAATTCGCGTACGACGTATCGTTGGTGATTACAACCAGATTCATCAGGCGATAGCCAGCATTGTGTGTTTCGGTCTTAAATCGAGGACCAATGACCACATAGCCGACTCGGCAGGCCCCGCTGTTGTAGGCGGATATGTGAAAAGTTCGGCGATGTGAGCAAATGTGAGCAAAGATTATGTTAGCATCTATAGAAAGTTACGGTTTGCACCGTGCACGCATAAACTTCATTGAATGTGATCAATGTCGTTGTTGGCCAGGGCGGAAATGTGGCAGCGGTAGGATATGCGACGTTGTTGATGCAACTTTTTACATTGCTACCTCGTTAACGGCCACTTATATTCTTAGCTCTTTCGGTAAAGTCACGAAAGAGCTAAGAATATGAATTACTGCAGTCACGAAAGCTTTAAATCAAAATTTAACGGCCACTTAATTTTTTTTTTTATGGTGGCATCTGTACACAGCGCCTTGTGACCTCCGGATGAAAGGCGTTTTAGAAGTGTAAATTATTGATTGTTACGTTCATTGTGCAACCGCCCAGCGGGATCTGGAGTCGATTGATATGTATATGCTGTATTGAACAATAACAGACCGTCAAACGCTGTACATTTTAAGCAGAGCCTTTAACTATGTCTGCATTTCTTACTTTTCCCCAACCGCATTTTTAAACGGCGTGTCGCAATCCGCACGAATCACGCATTCCTTCCCCATGCGCAGCATTACGGGAGCGCACAATATACTTGTTGCCATCGACGATGACATCATCCTCCGGCTCGAGACGCATCTGTCTCGCTGTGTTTGGCCACATTTGCAAGAATATCATGGACGCCACTCCACTGCGCCATCATCCATCCAGGTCAAGAGTGGAGTTCGACCGGCGCCCGTCCAAGGAACTCTCGTGGGGACAGCGGCATAACCTTTGCACAGGATGAGGCCCTCTTTCTACAACGCGTCGCCGACGCGATGATGGTGAATGTCTGTCACGAGAAAGACGTGCGGTGGGTAACCTCAGACTGTAGTGAGTGGCACGTGTGAAATTACTGCGAGTATGGTAACAACACACAAGCTTGTAGCGTTTGCGAGATTCGTCAACCTGGGGATTCATCATCATTATCAGCAGCAGCTACTTCAAATGGTTAATCCACTGCTGGATGAAAACCTCATGCTAACTTGCCGCTGTCGCTACCTCTCACAATCCTGTGATATAACAGTTTGGGGCGCCGCGGTGGTGAGGTCATCGTCTCCCTCGCCTGATTATTCAAGATGATTTGGCCACTACTCGTAATTTTCCACACGTGATAATATCGGCCACTTCGATAAGCTATCATCGTATGTGGGCCAGGTTGCCTCTGAGAAGGAACTAATAGCTCAGTGAGCTTTACTTGGTAAATCAAATAGCTTATGTTTGAGTGTACAGTAATAGGTTTACTATCAGCAGCAGTAGCTGCTGCACACGAGCTGATTCCATCGTAAGGGGTGGATATCTTCTCGATCGGACACATTCCATTCCTTGGGTGCCACATCCCCCTGGGGTATATTGGGAGATGGCTTGAAGTTGTTACAGCGGTGGGTTGAAGGTGATTAGTATTGTCTGACGTATCGTGCAATTGCCGATGTAAAACTGATTTTGATTACTAACCGATTTTGGTAACTGATATTCAGGGATGTTGTCAAATAATTATATACCGTATTTTATTATTACAATGAACCATTGGTGGAAAGTTCTCTCTCCAACTTATATCCACTATACCTCTTTGGCCTCTCCGTGTATTGTAAAGAAGAGTCATTGCTTAAAACTTCGCCTATTCTAAATATATCCTTTTTAAGGGGGTGTTATTGGGGAATATGTAGACGGTTTTTATTTTTGCTTTCGAAATAGAATAGAATAGAATCGGCCTTATGGACACCCCACTGATTTCTAACGATCAGCAGGCGACACATTACTGTGAACATTATGCGGATAGTGAAAGCTACGTTGGACAAAGCTCGCATATATTGTGTGTTCGGAGGGTGACACGTGTAGGGTTTGGGTTATGGTAAAGAATAATAGTAACGGCGCGACGGCGAGGGAATGGGACGCACAACTCGTGTGCTGGGTGGATTAATAAGCCACAGGAACGCGAGGGGTGGCCACGACTTGTCGAGGCTTTCATCCAGCAGTAGACTTGATCGTGTCCGAAGATTGTTCACGGAAATAAAAGTAGGAGCTTCGATAGTGACAACACCTCCTTAGAAACGGATTCAACTCGCACGCGAAACCGCACGAAATGTCGAGTCCAGCAGTCACATAATGTTCCTGCGGATTAAAGTGGCGAATCATTAAACACCGTCAGAGACTCGCACGTTAGTCAGGCTCGTTAAATGTGACTCGGAGCTATGGGCCGTTCTCACATTGTGTACATTTTCAGTCTCGCTCTGCGCCACGTAAAGTCCACGAGTTCACAGCGCGTGCCGCTTGAACGCAACGCAACATGAAATCCGCGAAAGCCGGCCCCCGCCAGTTTCACATTTCAATCGACCTATTTCAGTTTATTTATTTTTTGGTATAGCCCTGTGAGCCATTCGGCTCTTGAATCGGGTGCAACCACAACAAACAAAAAACACACGAACAAGAAAAACATCTTAAAGTGACTATGTGACTGTGCAAACAGAAAATCCATGGAAAAAAAAAACAGCAAAATATTCCTGAAAAAAGCACCGTACACCAACGCTGTGTGCAAAAAATCCCAGTGTGATGCAAGTCAAACAACGATGTACGACATGATGAATACAAATGGATAAATATCGTAGAAAGGAGCGACGGAGGCGAGAGTTCAACAATGGAGGGTAGGTGGAGGGTAACTTCCGCGGATTTCCTCCGCCTTGTCGATCCTGTGGTTTGGAGCCATCATGACTCAGCGCTCGCTCCGCGTCTGTGCCTCGTCACGTCTGCATGGTCTCGGCACCCATCCCCCATCCCCCCTCACTGACCTACACCACCTCCCCCACCCCCATTGCCCCTGTTCTGCTGTGTCACAAACAAGGCTGAAAACATTCCACCCAAACCCCTCCTCCACCCTCTCCCCCCTTCTCATTCAGGCCTCGACCGCCAATGATTCGCACACGTGATACTTTCATCGATCCACCGCTGGATGATCCCCTCCCCACATGCCGCGCGCTCTTTTGGTGGACGTTTGGTTTGTTCCACACTGGAGCCTGCGCAGCGCACGTGGAAGACGCTGCCGGTCTCGGTCCGCCGTGGCTTTTAAAGCGACGGCGCGGCTGTGGCGGTCGCGTCAGAAAGCGTCGCTGTACGGCGCAACGCGCGTGCACGGCGTGCCGCTGCGACGTGGTGGCCACACTACGTTCGTCGATCCACAAACGCGGTTCTCGGCTCAAACTCCTGGCCCCGCGTAGCCTCCGAGACGTTCGCTCCGTGCTTGTGCCAAGTCACATTGTGGGGTTTTTTTTTGTTTTCAACCACACACCACCCTTCCTCCTCCTCCTCCTCCCCCCCCCCAGAAGGGCGTTCTGCTTGGTCACAAACAAGGCGATTACATTTCACCCCGTACTCCTACCACAGCCGCTCCCACCCACGACCCCGAGCCAACTCGCCCTCCGTATACGGAGCAACACGCCGCACTCGTGCATGTACGTTTGCGCTGTGTCGAACTTCTTTAGCGCCGTACGTAGCCCACCGCGCTAATCGGAGGTTGTTTTAATCGTTCCGAGTCAAGACCTCAAAGTCATCGTGCGGGTTGTTATGGGTCACGCAAATCGGCTCGGTGGCGCCCGTGCAGGCTCCGATGCCGATGTGGCTCATTGCTCACAGCACGCGAGTGCGG